CATGGTGACCTTGATGAAGTGATTTATATAAGACAGCCACCTGGTTTTATTGATGAAACTAAATCTGATCATGTGTGTCTATTAAAAAGATCATTATATGGTTTAAAGCAATCTCCACGATAATGGTACAAGAGGTTTGATAATTTTGTATCTACTATTGGTTTCATAAGAAGTGAATATGACCATTGTCTTTACTTTAAAAGAAATGATGAAAATGCTATTGTTGCATTTATACTTCTTTATGTGGATGATATGTTGCTGATTGGTCAGAATATGCATGCTATTAATCAGATAAAACGGTCTTTAAGTGCTGAATTTGAAATGAAAGACCTAGGACATACAAAGAGAATCTTAGGTATGAAAATCACTAGGAAAAGGCACAGTAAGGTACTGTACTTGAAGCAAACTGCATATATTGAAAAGATGTTGACTAAGTTTGCCATGCATAATTCTAAATCTGTTTCACTTCCATTGGCCAGCCATTTTAAGCTTAGTAAAGAGCAATGTCCTGTAAGTGAATCTGACATTAGGCGAATGGAAAATGTACCTTATGCTAATGCCGTAGGTTCTGTCATGTACACTATGGTATGTACTAGGCCTGATGTAGCTCATTCCATTAGCTCACTTAGTAGATTTATGGCTAATCCAGGACCAGACCATTGGGGTGCTCTAAAATGGCTGTTGAGATACTTGAAAGGATCTTCACATGTTGGTTTGATCTTTAGTGCTTGTAATGAAGGTGTTGTACTTAAGGGTTTTGTAGATTCAGATTTTGCCGGAGATAGAGACAATAGGAAATCTACTACTTCTTATATGTTTACTTTGTGTAATACATGCATTAGTTGGAAATCTCAACTTCAACCTATTGTTGCTTTATCTACTACTGAAGCTGAGTATGTTGCTGCAACTGAAGCAATAAAAGAAGCATTATGGCCCAAGGGCTTATTATCTAAAATAAATGAATTGAGTAACCTTGTTGTCTTGTATTCTGATAGTCAAAGTGCAATTCACCTATGTAAAAACCCTGTTTTTCATGAAAGAACAAAACATATTGATGTTAAGTTGCATTTTATTAGAGATGTTGTTTCTAAAGAACTTATATTACTTGAGAAAATTGCAACTCAGTATAATCCAGCTGATTTAGGTACTAAGGTAATTCCTTTAAACAAATTTAAGTCTTGTTTACAAATTTTGAACATTGATGCTGGTTAAGTGTTTTGTTCTGCACAGGTGCTAAAGTTGATACTTGTTGAGAATGCTGGGAAGCTGTCTTCTAGAGAAGGACATTTAACTTGTGTTTTACATTTATTAGGCTTCTTGTATAATCACTGGCATCAAGGTGGAGATCTGTTGGGCTGTGATGTCATTTGATCCAGTCCAACTGTTAGGCAATGATGAAAATGTCCAAATTGGATTTATTACTTGGTCCATTAAATATATACCTAGAAGGCCCACTTAACCGAGCCCAATATCCAGCCCACACACCATTAGTCGCTCTTGGACCGTTGGATTGACCCGCTGATCAACGGTTGATGATATTTACTATAAATATCTTCCTTACTCCCTGTTTGGCTCTTGGATCGTCACTTTCTGTTTTTCCTTTTCTCTCTGCCGTTTGGAACCTTCGAGTTCCTTTGTCTGTGTGACCCTTCCTTCTCTTCTTTGTGAGGTTCCTGGTTGATTATCTTTGTGATAATCGTGTTCTTGTGTGATTCTCCTTTGTGTGAGTGATCAATCGAAGGTAGGCAGTTTGATTTCTTGAGTCCAGTGTAGTGACCTTGGTGTGTTTGGGTTGTGAGGGTTCGTTTTGAGTCTCGGTGCCTCTGTGATGGTTAATGGGTGTGGTCTGAGCCTTCGATTGAAAGATCTAAGCCTTGATGTTGTGATTTAGGGTTTTATGATGTAATCTGCGATTCTATGATTTCATCTATGTTTCCTTGGATTCAGTTTATAATATTATCAAACAATCCGACCATTGAAATTATATTTTCTTAATCACATTGTTATGAATCGAATTAAAATTTTACAATCACAATGAGGAGTTGTGAGACAATCCAATAGGTGCATACAAATCTATATAGAGATTGTGGCATTGGCCATTCAGAATAGTCCAAAACTCATGAACAGACGTTGTGTTCTATGTTTTCTTCAATTACGAATTTATGGGATACAAATTAATTTGTTTTCAAGCTATTTATATTATGTCGAACTACAGTGACGCAATATAAATATCAAACTTCTTCTACCTTTTTTACTCGACTTTCTTCTTCAATAAAAAAATACGGACAATAACAAAAGGTTCCATGGGATTATGTACACATATTGAGAAATCTTTAGTGGCAAGATTCATGAAAAGGCAAACGTATTATTATTGTCATCCTCCACCATCACCTAATTTCGAAATTTAATAGAAGTAAAAAAACAAGTAATGTTATTCATAGTGAAGACAACCAAACATCGTCCTACATGGCATACATATAGCTGTTTTTATTTGATATATTAATATAGTAATTTTTTTATTGTTTTACAGATCGAATAACAAATTATCATTTGCATGCCACGTGGAACAATTGTTAGTAGTCTTCGCTGTGAATAACATTATTCGTCGAAAACCTTAGCCATTGTCATCCTTCAATCTCCGAACACATAACCAACCAATTTCCTTTACGCACTGCTACAATTATTCCCTTAGATTACGCATTGAAGTGTATGAAATGTTAATACAGAGGTGAGATAAACTATTTTCCAAAACACAATGTCCACAAATAAAATTAAAGAATGCATAAATACGTTAAAAAAATACTAAAAAAACAAAATTTTTAGTATATCCATCACAAGAATTAAATGGTTATAAGAAGGCAGACCCTCAAAATAACCTTATATGAATCAATCAACGCATCCATCACAAGAATTAAATGGTTATAAAAAGGCAGACCCTCAAAATAACCTTATATGAATCAATCAACGCACCTCACAGTCAAAGTAAAACTAAAGAAAATCATCATCATACTTTACAACCGGCAGTCATCTAAATCTGTCATCGCTGGAAACTCCTTCGCCCATCACTGGAAATTCAGACCACAAGTCCTCGATCTCTGGCAGTAGAGGATCCAAGCTACCGGATACCTCTTGCATGTCGTCCATCAAAGGATCTTCAACTTTTTGCTTCTTGTTTGCACGCAGACAGTCTTCGACCAATTCCTCGTTGATTCTTGGATTTTCAACACCTCTCATGATTGTTCCGATTTCATCTGCGAAATGGATGACATGCTGATCCCTTGGCAACGTCAAGATTTTCATTATCTTACAAATCACATAATCCTTGCACATACACCCATTCAAAGAAACACCATCAAGGGAGTACTCGTGCATTATCCAATGTCCGTGATTCTTCTTTATTACATCTGAGTCTATCTTTGCTTCGAAACTCAACATTTTACTGGAGCCGATTATCTCACCCTTCTGGCTGATCAAGCACGCGCGGCCACGGGGGCTCGCCAGGTGCTGGATCCGCCAATGGATGTAAATGCGTTTAGGAAGGGAATGTTTAGGACGAATGATTTAAATGTGCCTAGGGTTATTTATAATGTGATCCTGAGATCATGGTCCTAGTCTGAGTATGATTTCAACATATAAAGCCCCTTTTTTACCCTAATAAAATCTGATAATACCTCATTATCGTTGACATTCATTGAGAAAGATAATGGAATGGATTGAACAAAGATTGCAATGTGAATGTGAGATATCAGTGGGATGTTTTTGTGATCTTTTGGATTACATTTGAGGATCTATGTTTTGTGATACATTAATTTGGGGATATTAAACAATAACTGTAGGTAATTGATTTAGCATTTTTGGAGGAGTGATATAAGTGAAATTTAATTTGGCTTGTTTGGAGGAGTGATATAAGCAAATTTTTAATTAAATTTGGGTAATATATGTAATTTAACCACGATTCTGATTTCTTCTTTTGAATTCATCTTTACACCTTAAATTGAAACTTTATGCTTAGGCCTGCTAATTCTGAACCATTCTCTGATCTCATGAAATTTTGCACTGCCTAATGAATTTGTTCTCTGTTTAAGTACGTATATGTTTTTTACTTCTTCAACAGTGAAACCTACAGGGCACTTAAAGGCCCTACTGTGAGTGCAGGAGGTTTATAGGTCAAGTCTGGTTTGTGGAAGAGTAAGCATCGTATTTGACTATGATCCAGGTCAACCAAAGAACGTCACCGAGCTCCACCATGATGCCAGACGATAGTCTAAAATTACATATATTACCCAAATTTAATTAAAAATTTGCTTATATCACTCCTCCAAATAAGCCAAATTAAATTTCACTTATATCACTCCTCCAAAAATGCAAAATCAAATTACCTACAGTTATTGTTCAATATCCCCAAATTAATGTATCAAAAAACAAAGATCCTCAAATGTAATCCAAAAAATCACAAAAACGTCCCACAGATATCTCACATTCACATTGCAATCTTTGTTAAATCCATTCCATTATCTTTCTCAATGAACGTCAAAGATAATGAGGTAGTATCAGATTTTATTAGGGTAAAAAAAGGGCTTTATATGTTGAAATCATACTCAGACTAGGACTAGGATCTCAGGATCACATTATAAATAACCCCAGGCACATTTAAATCATTCATCCTAAACATTCCCTACCTAAACGCATTTACATCAATCTCCCTAAACACCCCCTACCTATACCTCTTTGTGAGCAAAGAAATCAGTAACAATTAAGATGAATTTTCCTCCAGGTTATCGTTTTCAACCCACAGATCAAGAACTCATCATTTTTTACCTCGAGAAAAAGGCGAAAAACCTGCCATTGCCATGGAACTGTAGCATTGTGGAAAGAGATCTTTATGGAGAGCATGCTACTCCATGGAATGTGTTCAGCGACAATGATCCTTGGGATATTTCAATAACAAGTGAAAGAGATCGAAAGAAGAGTACGAAAATGACTTTATACGTTTTTACCAAGTTGTTGAAATTTGGAAAGAAAAGAACTGAAAGAAGAGCCGGTTGCGGGACATGGGATGGCCAAACCGGGGCTAAAATAATCGAGAACTGGAATGGTGAGATAATCGGCTCCAGCAAAATGTTGAGTTTTGAAGCAAAGATAGACTCAGATGTAATAAAGAAGAATCACGGACATTGGATAATGCACGAGTACTCCCTTGATGGTGTTTCTTTGAATGAGCGTACGTGCAAGGATTATGTGATTTGCAAGATAACGAAAATCTTGACGGTGCCAAGGGATCAGCCCGTCTTCCAGTTCGCAGATGAAATCAGAACAGTCATGAGAGGTGGTGAAAATACAAGAATCAACAAGGAATTGGTCGAAGACTGTCCACGTGCAAACAAGAAGCAAAAAGTTGAAGATCCTTTGATGGACGACATGCAAGAGGTATTTGGTAGCTTGGATCCTCTACTGCCAGAGATTGAGGACTTCTGTTTCGAATTTCCAGTGACGGGCTAAGGAGTTTCCAGCGATGATAGATTTAGAAGACTACCGGCCGTAAAATATGATGATGATTTTCTTTAGTTTTACTTTGATTGTGAGGTGCGTTGAATGATTCATATAAGGATATTTTGAGGGTCCGCCTTCTGATAACCATTTAATTCTTTTCATAAGATATAATAAAAAATTTGTTGTTCTAAATTTTTTAACGTGTTTATGCATTCTTTAATTTTATCTGTGGACATTGTGTTTTTAAAAATAGTTTATCTCACTTCTGTTTTGGAAAATAATTTTAGCTACAGGCAATGCCTTCGTAAGAATATCAGCTACCTACCTGATTTTATGTAGAAATATACGGCACTTCCAACAACGTTATGCCCGATTTCATGTAAAACTCGTAAATAGTCAATGAGCCATTTTAACTTGTGAAGGTAAGATATTTCAATGCCATCTTGATCTCTTTCTTTTTACAATTAATATTATATTTTTAGACTGTAAATTTTTTTCAATTTATAATGTAAAGAGGAAGCCGAGTAACACATAAATTCCTACAGCTTCCAATGTTCTTGGTTAAATGTGTTTTCTGTTTTCTCCAAAAAAATATAAAATGCCTACGTTTTGCAACTTTTTATGCACAAACTGGTGCAATTACTAAAATAAAAGTTGTGAAGTAGAAATCCAGAAATTGAAGTCATTGTAAAATTAGGTTTTACCATAAATTATCTTATAAATAGAGAGTTGTCCTTAAACTTTATCATTATTATCAAAAAGAGAGAAAGATGGGTCACAGAAAATATGAGTACGATTTTCTCTTGTAAACTTTTTTTCATTGTGAATTATTGTAGCAGTGAGAGAGGACGACATCTCATATTGAGACAAATATTTATAAATCTTGCGTATTATTGAGTGTCTATTTTTATTTTTTCGAATTGATTACTCTTAATGAAATAAAATTGGGGATTATAATTCTCAACGTCAATAAACGAAATTTTTTAATTTTATTGGACTTCCAAGTGAAAGAAAAATCTCAGGTCACTCTCTCATGCTCTAGTCAGCGATTACTTTCCTAGAGTAAATGATCACTTTTACAGTCATTGTCCTCTTTAAAGGATTCATGTTTGTATGCAAAGCCAGTACTAGAAATATCACATGATCCTTCTTCAAACTCTCCTTGATGCCTTAGCATATGAGAAATATCACTTGCAGAAGGAAAATTCCATATTCATTCGTTAATCCCACCAACTATAGATTTAAAAAAATATATACATGGCGCAGGATAAGGACCATTAGACCTTCAGTCCTGCGTTTCGTTTCAAACTTACTAGAGCAGAAATATAATATCCACTATACTTTTGAAGTGCGTTTCTAGTCTTTTATATTTCTTTAGCCTAAATTTCTTTACTTATAATCCATGTTGCACATGCACACGAACATGGGAGTCGAACACTACAAGATACGGTACTAACACATTGACACGTGATTTTTTGACAACGTAGGATACAGACTCATCTGGGACATATTAATTTAAATTCTTCAAAATTATAAATTTGTAAATTTTATCTTTATGTTTATATTTTTTATCTTCTAGTAAAATCAATTATTTTCTTAGTTTTTATTTTTATTCATGAAACCTTTTAGATTAGTCTAGTAGCTATTTGTTATATTAAAATAAAGGGGAAATTGCAGCCTAGGTACCAAACCCTTCGTTTATTAGCAAACTTTGCCCAAACTTTTCATTTATGCCACCGGAGGTACCAAACCTTTCAAAAATTCGCACCCGAAGTCCAAATGGATGAGAATCGTTAGTAAATCCGTTAGTTGGCCTAGAGTCAACATTTTGACCAATTTTTTACTGTATTTTAAAGGGTAAAAATGTAACATTAGGTTTTTATATTAAAGAATTAAAATAATTAAATTAAAAACCCAAAAATAAAATAAAAAGAAAAGAATTTCAAAAAAAATTCTTCTTCTTCCCTACGCAGCTAACCCCGTCCCGCCCTGCCTCGCCCCACCCCACAAAAATCAACCAACGTCCACCCACCCCAATCGCGCCGACCACTGCCATTCATCGCTCCTAAATCAGTCGACGACCATCATCCACCATACCCAAATCACTGCACAGCAATTGCCAGCAAATCACATTAACCAGAAGATGTTGGATAACATTGGCTTGTTCTTAATCTGCAACTCTGTGTTTTAACCATAAGATGTTGGATAACATTGACCAAAAAGTTGTTATGCTTGCGTTGCGAGTAAGAAAAAGTGCTTGCAGTAGCCACTCAAATCCAGTCAACAACCGTCCTCGTCGTCTCCATTAAAATGACTCTCTTGTTTATCAAATTGAAAGATCCCTAAAATTGTATATTATTATCAATTTAAAATGGCACCCTAGTGTTGGATTTTGTTGTGGGCGATTACGTCGACGGGCAGAGGAGTGAGTGGCCGTGGTGGTTTCAGCTCTTGGTTTTGGTTTTTGGGGAGGGAGTGTGTGTAGGGTACCTGGGGAAGAAGAAGGGAATTTGTTTTTAGCTTTTTTATTTTAATTCTTTAATATAAAAACCTAATGTTACATTTTTACCCTTTAAAATGCAGTCAAATTTTGGTCAAAATGTTGATTCAACTAACAGTTTCCATCCATTTGAACTTCATGTGTGAATTTTTGAAAGGTTTGGTACCTTCGGTAACACAAATGAAATGTTTGGGCAAAGTTTGCTAATAAATAAAAAGTTTGATACCTCGACTGCAATTTTCCCTAAAAGACATTTAAATTGCATGGTTGAGGAAGGAAAAATACAAATAGTGCAAACGATGAAAACAACTTTCCATCCGATCTCAAACTCCCCGTACCCAAGCTGAGTTTAATTTCTTGTTCCATCAATTTTAGAGAGAGAGAGAGACAGACACTCTTATATTGTCATTTGACTCAATGAATATCAAGGATGTGTTGGGCACGTTAGATCGAATAAATATTAGTCCTGTTTGACTACCATTATTTTAAAACTCTCTATCACTCATTATTTTTTTTAATCACACATTTGACCGTTAAAAAGAAAGTGGGTTCTACCTGTGAGAAAAAAATTCAAAAATGACGGTTGGAATAATGAAATAACGGTCAAAAAATTGATTTTAATTAGTTTTTAAACCCTAACAAACAAACTCTATATTTACTTACAAATAAATAAGGACTAAAAATTTCATTTATAATTAAAAAATGTCTAGTAACTAAAAATTATTTATAGCTAAAAATTCATTTATTAAGTAAAAACTTAAGTCTTAAGTAAAAAAGTATATCCTAAAAATTTACTTACAAGTAAAACATTAACTCGTGAGTTAAAAATCACTTATATGGAAATATGCACTACCAAGTAAAAAAAATATTCCTAGAACTAACAAATTCACTTATATGTAAATTACTATAAGTAAGAAAATTAGTTATGAGTGGTAAATATTGTAACAAACTTCTTATTTTGAATACTTGTACGCGTTTCTCGTATGATTTAATACCAAATGGTGTATTAGTATAATCCACCTTAATACACCTGAATGCATGTTTGGAAGGAGATTAAATCATAATATAAAGTGAACAGACATATTTTTTATCCACATATTTAAATAGATCCACAACTATTTATTATCCACACAATTCATAGAACCCAAAGTTTTTAATCACTTCCTAAATATGCTATAATTATCCCCCAAATCCTATACTCCATAATTCTATCCCTTCTTACCTTGTCCCTAATGTACCCTGAATTGGATTCGAGTTTAGCACGAGGAGAAGCAATATGTCATTGTTGGAAATAATACTGTGATTGAGGATATTACTCCTCAATCACAATTTTTCCATAGCATGCCAATGCCAATCACGTAATTGAAGGAGGCTAATTTACACGGTTTCCATTTCATTGTAAATTATTAATTTGTATTCCATTTATACTATCTTGTAAAGCTCTATATAATGCAATACGATACACCACTGAAATTAAGGTGGATTTTAATCATTCTTATGGTGTCAGAGCCAAGTGGTTTAACATACATGCCACATATCCTGTTCTTCTTCTTCCCTTCATGGCTTCTGAAACTTCTGCCACCCTTCTTCCTTTCAATACGTTAATCCACATGATCATTATTAAACTTTCCTCCTCAAATTATCTTCTCTGGAAATTCCAACTCCTCCCTCTTCTTGAAAGTCAAGAATTATTAGGACATGTTGATGGCACCCTTGTGCAGCCCCCAAAACTTGACGCTTCCACTTCTCTCACGCCAAGTGACAAATGCCTAGCATGGAAAGCTATTGATCAGCGTCTCCTCAATTTGTTACTTTTCTCCCTCACAGAGAAAGCCATGGCTGAGGTAGTTGGCCTCTCCACCGCACGAGACGTGTGGCTGGCACTAGAAAATGCATTTAGCCATCGTTCTAAAGCTCGAGAACTACGCCTTAAGGATGACTTGCAATTAATGAAACGCGGCAATAGATCGGTTGTTGAGTATGCCCGTTCCTTCAAAGCAATTTGTGATCAACTACATGCAATTGGTTGTCCAGTTGATGGTACTGACAAGGTGCACTGGTTTCTCCGCGGGCTCGGTACTGATTTCTCTAGTTTCTCCATAGCACAAATGGCCCAAACTTCTCTGCCCTCATTTGCAGATTTAGTCTCAAAGGCCGAAAGTTTTGAAATTTTTCAGAAATCCCTTGACTCATCTTCTCCAGCAGCGACAGCCTTTACTGTCACAAAAAATTCCACCCATCGTGGTCGCTCTTCTCGTAGTCATCGGGGTCGCTTCGGTGGGCGTGGCAGTAGTTCATCTGGTCGTGGACAAGGACGCTCCAACTACAGCTAATGGCGTTGTCCACCAAGATGCCAGATTTGCCAGATGGATGGCCACTTTGCCGATCGGTGCCTTCAATGCTATGATCGGAATGAGACACCAGCTCACCTTGCTGAAGCCTTCACGAGATCTTGCTCTGTAAATGAAGATGTGGGCTTTGACTGGTATTTGGATACAGGGGCTTCAGC